GACTGACCATTTGGCAGGGCCCTGTCATCAGGGCCTTGGCTCCGGATACCAAGTGCTCATCACCCTGTATTTATAAGATGGCTTTTGGATCTGTTTGCATGTGTTCATTCCAGAGGAGACTGAGGGGAAGGGGAAAATGAAATGCAGGCGCAATCTGCAGCACTTTCATCCTTTAAGAGGGCTTCAGTGTAGCTTGACGGAACAACTTTCTCTTGCATCTCATTTGCTAAAACTCAGCTATCAGAATGTGCCCTCCACCAGGGAGGCTAGCAAGTAGATGATGTCTGCCTGCCTTTAACTGAAGTGGGGGCCTCTTCTTCAGAAGAAGGGCAAACAGATAGCCAGCACCGGAAGAGAAGAGGGTCACACACAGAGAAGAGGTCCCTAGGTGGTGAAGGACGAGGAGCAATAGATAAACTATTAATTCAGTACTCTGTGTAGGCTGGAAATGGGAGTTTTCAGAAGAAAGAGCATTTGTGGTCAGCACAGATGAGTGACGTGCAGTGTCCGGAGTCTGGAACTGCAGGGGGCAGGTTGCCACTGGGGATGGTGGCTCAGAGCCTGTCTACCTGACAGATGGGGGTGGGGGGTGCAGTATAGGCCACGAGAGGCCAGTTTGAGGCTGTAATTTGTAGACACAAGTGGGGTCATCGTGTGCTGGTGCCACACTAGTTAAACCCAGTGTGGCATTGATCTTCGGTCCACGATGGGAGGGAAACCCCAGTGTCTCCATCCAAATCCGCCTGTGGTGCAGTCAGGCAGTCCCATGTTTCCACCCCTAAGCCCAGGGATCCGGAAATGACACTGTTGTGAGCCTCTCGCCCTCCTTGGGGCCTTTCTTCACTTTGGACCACGTCAGCCCTGCCAGACTCTGCCGGAGACCCTCTCACTCTAAGACATGTTCTTACTTTCTTAATTTCTCTTTGAGGCGCCTTCTTAGTTAACTTTTTTTTAAATTTATTTATTTATGCATACATAACTGGGGAACAAGCCAGAGGTGCAGGGGCAGTGGGAGGACTCACCAGAGACAGAGTGGGGAGGAGAGACAGATCAACAAAGTACACTGCTGAGGGGAGCAGGCGGTGGGTCAGGAGAGGTCTGCCACGCCATGTGGTCACCTCCAGGGCAGGCGGGGATCGAACTCATGCAGAAGTGGCTTCAGCTTCCTAGTGCTGTGCTTTAACCCGCTGCACCACCAGGGAGGACCCTCTTAAGTAACTTTTTGATGTATTCACTAATACCTCATACATCACCTCTAGCTTTTTGCTTGCATGTCCAGAGGAGGTGTAGAAAACGGGGATCCCCTTTCATGCTGTGTGATCCCAAATTCTTTTCAGTGAGGATTATAATAGCCAGTACACTGTTCTGGACAATTTGTCTCTTCTTGGGTCTGCGCGGGTCTTTGGCCTCTCAATTCAACACCTCATTTAGATACGTGCCTCGGCTCATCCTTATACTCTGCAATAGAAGTTGGCTAGTTTTCTCCTGAAAGCTTATTGCAGGAATCTATTTATAAAAAGATTTTGTGTACTGAATTTCCTGAAATAGTGTCATAGGCAGGTGTTCAAGAAAAATCGCTGAATGCGCAGAGCAATGAAAGGAGACATGAGACTATCAGAGTAATTCACAAATTACCAAGTGCCCTCATAGAATCTGTGTTACTGAGGAATAAGTGGAAATTATAAATATTACAATACTGTTTATAAGTGGAAGCAATAGCTTTTATATGTAGAAGTGATTCAGAGTCAACTGATAGAAACTTTGGTGACCATTCAGTGAGGCTTCAGTGATACCTAGACCCCTTGAAGATTCAGGATTTTTCTGAAGTGACTGTTGTTGGAGACATTTAAGATGTTGAATGAATTCCCAAGTTCAGTGTCCTTTATGCAAACGCTGGGGACCTTGAGACTGTTAATAAAAAGGCAAATGTTTAATCATTGACTTCAGCTCTGTGGGGGATTACATATACTTATTTAGATAGATGTGTGTCAAGTTCAAGGCCTTTTATGTTGTAGGAATCCAGATGTCTTTTTCACTGAAATGCAAACACGGTAGCTTGAAAAAGTGAGCAACTCAGACTGTTAATATAGGCTTGATTGATGACTGAGTGCTGGGGCATTAAGTTACATTCCTTTTGGCAAACATTGGTGTCCATTATTCTGTAGCAATGGGCAAATGCATGTCTGTACATGTGTGTAATTGTCATGTGTATTGCACACATACATGTGTATATAGTATTAACTCCATGAAACACTGGCATTTAAAGTGTTGACTAATGTACACTCCAGAGGAGAAAACCTAATTCTTCCACCTAGTTGAAAATTAAAGTATCTGTATTGAATAGGGTTGAATAGGATTTTTTTGTGAGTGGTTGTTGTGTGAGAGAGATTAGACAGTAGAATGGAAGCGCATCGATAAGCAGTAAAATAATGCAGAGTGTGCTCTAGCTGTGGTGAGCTGGACTGATAGTGCTTGAGAGGGGTTGTCAGGAAATTGGATGCAGAGATTAGGATTCTAGGAGTAATTCTAGATCATCAGTTTGAAAACTCAAGTGACTAGTGATATCATTTACTCAGGAAAGTGTGGGCGAGAGGCGACAGGTTGGAAGACTGACGGGCTGTAGTGTCATCTTGGACACATTACATTTTGGTGCCTGTTGTGTATCTCTGTGATGACGAGTAGATAAGTCAGTATGTAAGTAAATATGCTGCACCAAAGGGATTTTACTTAAATTTAGAAATAACCTAACTACAGATGCCATTTGACTCTTAGGTTGCCAAGGCCAGTGTTGAGATAAATAAGTGAATACCCAGGAGCGGTTTGGGGAAGTTCTAGTAGTTAAAGGTTCATGAAGAGGAGACTGAGTCAGCCCAGGTGAATGAAAAGAAACAGACAATCGCTCAAAAGAAAAGTAAAAAGCAAATGGAAAATGCATGAATGCATGGGTTTTTTTTAAATACAAAGGAAGATTGTATTTTGAGAATCAAGTAGTCTATTGAGGTCAAAAGTCATTTAATAGAAACTTGCTTTGATTCACATAAAGCTGCGCAGAAGGACAGGTGCCTCATTCTAAGGGAAAAGTGTTGCAAAGGCTGAGGAGACATAGAGCGTGAAGCAAGAGTTTGACTTCGATAGTAATGACGCGGTAATCAGAGGATGCAAGGAAGGGGGCCGGGAAGTGCAGGTGAGGTGCTCTCCTCCTGTCCCGTGTAGATCCAGCAGCTAGACCCTGAGGGAGGGAGTGAGCACGCTGACAAACATGGCCATTTCCCCCATTTTATTTTCCTTTTACTTCAAATATCTCAACTTTTTGTGGGATGTGGTGTGTTCATTCACTAGCTTCCATCACCTAACCCATGTCATGTGATCACACTGTTGAGGGTGGGCTTCAGTGGCCCAACCCCTGCCCACCCTTACCCCTGGCTCTGTGGTGAGTGACGCTGCACCTACAGCCTTGGCCCGGCAAACATGCCAGCGACTCACTTTATCGGTCGTGTCGATTGACTTGATCTGCTCCCTGCCCCAGCTGAGTCATAAGCTCTTTGAGCATCTCCTTGACTGGTCGGCGTTCATGTTTATACCACTGTTGACAGCCTATTGCCAGCACCTCACTCTTTTCACATCTCCCACTCCAGCAACTCTGAGTCCTTCTGGTGCCACCAGAATCCTCTCTGCAAGAACCTTATTGCTTCATCTCGCTCTGACCAGTGCATGCACACAGCCTGCAGTACTTTCACCCCTGTATGTATGTCCTGTCCCCACCCTCTTGACCTTCTTCTCTCTCCGATTGTTCATTATGGTCGACTTCAGCCCCCAACTTCTTAAGTACCTTCAAGCATGTGGATGAGAATGGAGCCAGGTTCACTCAGGATGGCTGGCCTCCAGTGAAATGAGTCCACAGATCTCAAAGGGGCAATCCATAGACCTTAACTATCCCAGTATGCTTTGGTGTATGTGTGTACAGAGATATCTGTCCTGTCACTGACTTTCTGTCTTCCAAACCACCGTCTCTCCTCCTGGTTGGTAACTTTTTGTCACAGGACCTTAAGAAAATAGAAGCCATCAAATAATAACTCCCTTATAGGTGTCCCATGAAAATACCTGTTTTTGCACAAAGACCATGATGTGTTTATGGTTAACTTGCCTTCCCAACAATGCCTGGTTCTCTCCCCTTTTGTGTTTCTTGCATAGTGTCATACAGCAAAATGGAAGCAGATGATTCTATTCAATGATAGTCGTTGGAGAACTACTCTGTAAACGGAGAGGAGTTGCTTAACCTAAAAAGTGTGTGTGCTTATCTGTTGTTTATTGTCTTTCAATGAGGTTCCTTATTTCACCCAACTGGAAATAACCGTGAGGGGGCTCTGAAGATTAACTTGGAGAAAGTGAATTTTGTGTATGGGACAAATAATGGCTGGAATTTGAATAAAAGTAGAGCGGTGATATTTTTGTTTGCATAGTAGGCAATTTAGTGAAAAGATTTTTTGGACACTAATATTACATGGCCATGTCATATTAGGGGTTCTTCTTTTAAACACATATATACAGCCCTGCTCAAGACCTCTGAGTGAGAGGGGAAGTGCTTTTAAAGGGGATAAGAACAGGTTGAGATTTTCAAAAATTAAACTAAGGCTGTGTGTGAGTGCTAAGGTGTCTAAGCATGTTTCATTTTGGAGGGACATATAACCATCACCACGGCTACCAAATCCTTTGTCAGTGCTTTTAGGAGTCAAAATAATAATGAATTTGAAGATAACAAGGGCATATTAAAACCAGTGTGAGATAGTTTTATTTTGGTGTTTACTTTTGATTATCTGACAGAAAAACGAGGTTATTTAGAAGCAGGTTATAAACCAACTGTAAGATTTAAATGAAATGTATATTTATGTGACTTGTATGACATTATAGAGTCAGCCTAGGGTTGAGGCTATGCAATTAATGAAATAAATTTAGCACGTTATAATCAAATATAAATGAGTTTTTTTTTAATATTCAATTAGGTATTCAATTGACAGAAACACCGATTTGGAGAGATATTTCAACATCGATGCCAACAGTGGAGTTATCACAACTGCCAAATCTTTAGATCGAGAGACAAATGCTGTTCATAACATCACAGTCCTCGCAATGGAGAGCCGTAAGTTAAGAGGCTTAAATGCAGTAGGGTGGAGAATGGGTGTGATGAGGTTTAATTTCAACTTGAGTGATGTTATTTTCTCAGTTGAACAAAAAAATTGAAATGCCTTCATTTCAAACTGTGAAATACACTCTATTCACTAACTTCATTAATACAAAATCAATGAAGAGAGATGACTAAAATAATGGGCTTGGATTTTCCTAGGCAAGCTGCTGCTTTTGTGGTTAGGCTACCTAACCAAGCTTCTGCTGGGTTACAAATGGTTTACAAAAGTTAGTCAACGGATCATTAACCATGGCATCCAGATTTGCAGAGTCTGTTGAACTCATTGTAGTTTGTGGTAAGAAAAACATTGAAACAGAGTCACCTTTATTCTACATAAATACATATAAATGAAACACTTGTATACGCCATGTATATTCATACACCTAGGACTTCTCCCACTTTTACCAATGTTCCTTTTTAAAAAAAAATATATTTATGCATATAACTGGGGTACAGGCCCAGTGAAAGGATTCACCAGAGACAGCAGGGTACAGAACAGATCAATGGAGTGAAATACACAGGTGAAGGGAGCAGTGGGCGGGACAAGAGAGGTCTGATGAGGCATGTGGGTCTCCTCCTGGGCCTGGGATCGAACTTATGCTGAAGCAACGGCAGCTAGCTTCCTATTGCTGTGCTTTAATCTGCTGCATCCCCTGGAAGGGCCTGCTTTCAACACTTTTCAGTATCTTTATGAGTATCTTCTTGCTCTGATATTGGGATCAGACTTTCTGATCCTTTTTAAAGTCTACAGTGTTAGGATGGCAGGTTTTGTTCAGTTTGGTCATTTGCTTGTTAGAATTGTTTTGATAGGTAACAATTTGCATGATTCTAATTGTTCTTAACGCTGTATCAAGTGCCCATGTATTAACAGCTTGAGTGCCAGAGTAAATGGTACACTATCTTGTTCTCCATTAGAGAATCCATCTCAAGTAGGACGAGGCTATGTGGCCATCACGATACTGGACATCAATGACAACGCTCCGGAATTCGCCATGGACTATGAAACCACCGTCTGTGAAAACGCTCCGCCAGGGCAGGTAGGGCATTGAGTTTGTGGACAAGATCCCTTTCACAACACCCAGCAGCTGCCTTTGAAATTGTGCTAGCTTTCAGATAAAACACAATCAGCCCATTTCAGCAAAGCTAACACTTTCATGTGTCGCATAAAACTAATATTAAAGGAACTTTGTGATTCGTGTTTAATTGGGATGATGGAAATGCCTCAGGAAGTAAAGGTAAATATGTAAAAGGCCCACTCAGGGCTTGGATCCTTTAAGAGAAATGCCACATACTGAGACTCCCTGGCTTCCTCCCCCTGTACCCAGCAGGACTCACCTGTCTCGAAGTTCTAAAAATTCAGTGTAGTTTAGTCTCGACTCATCCATGTCGTGCAGTGGTGTGAGGTTTTATGAGTGGGTGAGGCTTACTGCTGAGGGTCCCCAAAGTAAATTCACACAGGAATTCCAAAAGGACACAATTGTTTTTCTGCGCCCTTTTGAGATTGGATTCATATTCATACCACATTCTAGAAGGGGGTATTTATTACCAGGTGTAATACTGCTCTGTCCTGTCTTGGAAAACACAGCAGCTCTCACGCTTCGCTTACTGTCCCAGGTTATCCAGAAAATCAGCGCAGTTGACAAAGACGAGCCGTCCAGTGGTCACCAGTTTTATTTCAGCTTAACAACAGATGCAACCAATAACCACAACTTCTCATTGAAAGATAACAAAGGTAAGGTGTTAATGGCCCTGGGGAGGCAGCAAGCCCAAACTCCCTAAGCACAATTTTTGTCTTACTCAGGAATGCTGATTATGGATTTTTTTCCCTATATCAGCTAGGGCATTAATTAAAGGGCAGTGAACCCCTCTAGTAATTTTTATGTATGGATTTACTGTCACAAAGAAGCAGCTGCTACTTATAAATCATTTTAAGCCAAATGGGAAGGCCAGGTCCTTCCCTCTGTCTTTTCTTAAACACTCGCCACCTTAATTTGTATCCCAATCAGGTGACTGAGAGTAGTTAGTTACCTGTCTTGGTGAGGACTACGACACAGGTGTAACTTGAGACAGTTGGAACACAGTTGGCTTTTATACATCCACTATAAATCATCTTTGACTTAAAAGTGTAAGTGATGGTAATATTAAAAGTATTGTTCTAGCTTATCTATAAGTAAGCATGGAAGAATATATGTATATGTGTGTGTATATATATATATGCCCTTGATGCACACAAAAAGTGAATTCCCTGTTTTTCCAAAGGCCCTATTCACACGGTTTCCTAGCGGCCATTACGTGACCATTTTTACAGAACCCTGTAAGTATATTCCGGTTTCACTTAGCCACACACACAATCTAAGAACTTGTAAAAGATGTTTTTTATCTACTTTTAAATTGATATTTTCATATAGGTTTATTTTCAAGGTAATTAGCAGAAGAGCTTTTGTGACTGACTTAAAGAATGCTTCCCCCTGGGTAGATTACATTTCAGAAAGACTGGCTTACAGAGGGGCACTGGGAGCTTTTGCCTGAAGCCACCACCTTTAATGTAGACCACCCAACTTTGGCTTCACAATGTCACTGAAAATAATCACTTTTCCCGATTCCTTGCATACTCAAGCCATCAGCAGTTCTGTTTGTGACAGACAGATTTGAAAACCAAAGTGCTTTATCCTTGCCTCTTCTCTCATTCCAGGTTCATGACTTGCTGTAAAAAATGAATTGCATACATTCTCTAATTCATAAATATGTGTCGGATAGAAAGTCTGTTTCTGATATAGAAATAATCGCTTATGATACAGACTTATTGATTAGTTTTATAACTACTGTAATTCTGATGAAATAGAATATTGAATATAAATTAAGTAATAAATAACCTTATTACAAAAAAAAGTGTGAATTGGGTTTTAGGAATATATTAATTTAAAAAACTACGATCATTGCTATTTTCAGCATATGTGCATACTAAATTTAAACAACACTTAGATTCCATTGGCCTTGGAAGTTTTGGGAAAAAGAATGGATTGGATATCACATCTGGCTGAAATAAGGTTTACTTTTAGTATTATATATAGTTTGACATTTATGATAAAAATGTAGAATGTTTAATGTTAGAACATCACAGTTAACATATATCAATATTTTCATAGATTTGGTTATAACTGCAATGACATAAATATTAAAATGCATTTAAGTGGACTAATATTTGGAAATTATACTTCTTATTGCAATAATATTGGTTTATAATACTGTACATGATTTAGTTGTATAGGGCTGTACCTCTTCAGATGTGGGTTGCCCGACGGCACCACATTTCTCCACCATACTCCTCCACCGCACCACATTTCTCCACCATACTCCTCCACCATACTCCATTTTGGCCCCTTTGTCTTCCTGCTCTTCCCTCCCCACAGGTAGCTTCTCATTTTATGTCAGGTCACTAGGTTTTGTTTCTTCCTCAATGAGTGAAACCATCCCATCCAAAAATTGTCTCTCTTTCGGCCTCATTTCCCCTAGTATCATTTCTGCAGATGGCGAGAGTTCATCTTTTTGACAGCTCAGTAGTACTCCATCAGGTAGCTGCTCCACATCTTAATCCATTTGTCTGTCCTTGGCCACTAATGTTGCTTCCATAACATGACTATTTATTTTTCTCAGACAACACAGCCTCCATTCTCACCAGGAGAAATGGCTTCCGCAGACAGGAGCAATCTGTTTACTACCTTCCCATCTTCATCGTGGATAGTGGTTCACCTTCCCTCAGCAGCACCAACACCCTCACCATCCGTGTCTGTGACTGCGACGCAGATGGAATAGCCCAGACCTGCAATGCGGAAGCCTATGTTTTACCAGCGGGTCTCAGTACCGGAGCTCTGATTGCAATCCTGGCCTGTGTGCTCACGCTGCTGGGTAAGTGGATTCCAGTGTCTTTGGAGACATGTTCCATGAGCTGGTGTTTTTCTCATGCATTTTCTCACGAGGTACACTTTCTAGGGATAGATGTAAAATATAACCATGAAAAGATAATTGACTTCATTTTTTAAAACAGCAGTTAAACAGAATTTATCTTAACACTAGAGTTTTTGAAGATTAAAAGGGGGGGAAAAACCTGTTTACTGTAGGATGCAGAGAAGTATTAAGAATAGAATCTTTTGATTTTAATAATATGCTGATGTTACAAAGTATGCCTTTAGAACCTTCAGAAAAGATTTAAAATGGATTTTGTAATTAGCAAATTTTAAAAGATTGCCATTTCAGCAATGGAAGTTATTTTCCCAGGATAATTAACATATTTAATTGTACTTTTCTAAGGTTTATTTGGTTAAATTGGACTTATAATTCATATTTACTTGCATAAGATTCTGCAGCATTCTTTCAAACATTGGGAGGTATTGGGGACTGGGCATGTGCCTTAGGTGACTTCTCCCAGTGCTTTCCTCAGCATAGAACATAGAACATAGCACCTTAATACTGTTTTTTTGTGGTTCAGTATAATTTGATTCATTTATTATTTTTTGGGAAAATTAGAGTACAGCAATGTGAATTAGGTAAGCCTTTTTTTTTTTTTCTCAGACTGCCTTGTTAATCTAGAAGGGAAAAGAATGGAACTAGATGCATTAGATTGTTGTGAAATTAAATGAGATAATCCATGGACCTACCACGCTAAGACTAGTCTTTTGTATACTGTAAATAACCTCAAAGAATGGAAGTTTGTACTTTGAGGTGTTCAGCCCCAAGCTAATGCATCTAGAAGAGAATATTCTTTTCACCATCTCACTTTTACACAGATGGCAGAAGCTTTCAGAAATTTGTTAGAATTAACAAGCAATGCTCAGTTAAAGCATGATTAGGATATAAAGGACTAGAATATATTTTGAAAAAGGGAAAGAGAACAGTCTTAGGGTTCTGCCAGTTTCTAAAACAAGACAGATGTAAATACCACAGTTTATAATAGCTGAATAACCTAGATCAAATTTAAAAGGACAAGGTCTTTAGCTCAAAAACACAGAATACTTGCAATTTAGGTTGGAAGACCCTAGTTAATAAACCTTACCTTGCTGTAACTTTTCATTCATAAAATATACATCTCTCTCAGGATGAAATTTTAAGGATTGCATCAAAAATTATAAGAGCAATGACTGTTGAATGCATTTTTCTTTTTTGTGCTGAAACAGTTTGGGGCCTGCCCCAGTCCACTCCCCTCATGGGGGTCTCCATGTGTTTTCACCTCAGCCTGTAGGTGGTCATACTGCCTACGAATGTGACTGTCTCCGCTAAAGAGGCTCTTTGCCAGGTTAGGTGTCAGGGGCATTGTGGCTCAGAGGTGAGTCTGAATGGAACTTCTGGTATGCCACCAATGCCCCCTTCACACCACCTCAGGAAGTGGTGGCAATCTTATTTCTAGATGCGAGTTACATGCTGGGTAACTGAAATCTTTTCAGGCTTCTAAACAAAGAGGGCAAGCTGAAGAAGTCACAAACCAATTTTGAGATGAAACCAGGTAACCACCTGGGTTTTGGGTGCCTGGGAGGACCAGCTTCCCTGGTGCCAGGCTTGTTCCAGTGACATACCAGGAATGGGGCTCTCTGATATTCCAGAACACTAGGGTATAGGACATCATTGACAGAGGTGCTCTTCCCAAATCATGGCACTGTGCAGCAGGGAAAAGAGATACAGGTATGTTCAAGGAGTTTTCAGGAGTTCATGAATTTAGTTCCCAATCACTGCTTTAAGTACAAAGGAAACAGATATTAAAAATATGTAACTTGTGTTCAAATGTAGTTCCTAAGATTTAACTAACTTTATGGAAGACATCGTTACCGATTTCTCTTATTCTTCAAGATAGGATCCAAAAACAAGACTATGAGGTTTTAGTCTATTCATTGTGTACAGCTTGAATTGGAGATCTTATTGTCATAATCCAAATTCATGATAGTTGTTAAGAACCTTCTATTATTTTCATATAGAAAAATGCCATCCTTACACGGTGGGGTCTTTAGCATTCCAATTCTTGAATAAATATTCTGCACCAACTCTATCAATTTCACTATGCATTATCATTCCTAGGCTGAAAGCATTTAAAAAAATTCTGATTGAAAATACATTCTTATTTTGGTGCATTGTAAGAAAGAATTTGCTAAAATTTTGTTTCCATATTAAATATTGTACACTTCTTTAGAGAGTGTGACAGCTCGATTTTCTGTTAGTCTATCCAAAGAAACACCAACCTGCACCCCAAAAATCTAAGTAATTGAAATCCTAGATTATTACATCTAACTCTTGGCTTTCTGGACCCCACTGGTCTTAGGTACTCTTGCTGGTATAAGGTAGTTGCAGGCTCCACAATCCACCCCTGGCTGTCAAACTTTCACATATTTTCACTTTCTTCCTTTACCTCCCAAGGAAAATGTTTTCTTAGTTTTGTGATAATAGGACCCCGAGGTGTAAAAAAAAAAGCTGAGAAAGTGGTAGGTAGCACCGTGAACACAGGCTGATGTCCATTGTGAGCATCACCAGCGCATGTGACGCGAGATAATGGGGGCATGGCAGTGCCTAATTTATGGGCGCAGATGCATTCCCCTTTCAAACACAGGTGAGCAAGTAAAAGTGAATGACATTTAACGAGCATGTGCTAAGTGGTGACCATTAACAGAGTGCTTTACAAGCATCCTGTTATTTAACTCTCAGAACTCGTTTCCAAGGCAGGTCTTAAATATTTTCATGCACACTTTAAGCACACAAATACAAAAAGTCCGAGCCAGGATGTGACTGAGGAGGCCCCTGTGTTTTCCAGTAGGAAAGATGGACAAGTCGGTGGTTAACACTTGGTGTCTACTTTAGAGTATCTTGCAGTTATCTAAAACCTTGAGGTACCACACCTAGGCTTGTGGATGTTAGATTTGAGAGGATACTTCAGTACAAGCCATGTATGTTTTCATACACAGCTGTCTTTGTGTATTAAATAGGCATTACACTTAAGTCAGTTTTTCTCTCTGGTATAATTGAGACTCAAATGGAATGATCCTCCCTCCATGCTTAATAGACACTCTGATGCTTGTTTTCGAAGGGGAAGATTGCGGTTGTAACTCAGTCTCTGGTTAAGATCTAGAAAGGTATAGGCATTATTTGACTAATGTGCTGGCATCAGAAATCCATTAGACTCACCCTTGTCTTGTTCTGTCTCCCACGCCAGTCAGTCCCCAAGAACTGTTGATTTGATGTCATGCCTGGGTTTATATGCCAGATCCATCCATTCCAAAGACGAGAAACCTTTTAAAAACAAATGCAATTTGATTCCATGTCCCCAATTGTCTACAGACTAAAACCACGGGCTTTGTACTGCCAGACTTCTCCCTAGCACTTCAGCCAGTCTCTTCTGCCACAGTCCACCTCAGTCATTGCTCAAATAATCCTTTGTCTTACCTCTATTTGGGTGCCTGGATCACGTCCACTGAGAATTGCCAGGGGTGATGCCTTGGGCCCAGGTGGGTTGCTGTAAGTCTTGTCCACTTTCACCAGGCTTAGCGCATCATTCTAGTGAATAACCTGCTTCAGTAGTTGGTCTCTCTTCCCCTGCAGACTCCTTTTAGGGAGGAACTGAGCATTGTTTGATCATTATGGATGTAGCGCCTCCTAATTGCTGAGTAGGCTTACCACACCTGCGTGCTGAATGAACTCATTCATTAGTGGATAAGAACATTTGATTTTCGGTTTGTCATTAGCCATAAATAATATCTTTATGGACTTAGATTTTCCCAGTTCCTGAGATTGTATATTTATAGGACTTCCCCACGCCCGGAATTTCAAACTTTACAAAAAGTTAAAAATATTTATATTTTCAGTTTACTAGCCCTGGGGCTATGTAAGAGCAACTCAAGAAAAAAAAAAAATCAAAATAGATGGTTTTTAGAATCTAACCAAACTAGAAGAAATGTTGCAGCAGAGATTCAGGGATGTGTTATTTGTTGTTAAAATTCAGGATAGATTTCAGTTTAAAATTTGTATAGTGGATAGGAGAGATTTGTGATTAAGAGAAATTGGCTTTTTGTTCCACTATAAGTAGTGGATTCCTAAGTGTGAATTTAAGTCTTGGTCTCCACACTAAGGTCTGATGAACGTCTCACCCTGCATCTCTGAGCTGAGCTGTCACTTGCAGTGAATGACACCCTTCTCTGGTCACAGACATCCCTGTATTTTTCCTATCATTTCACTTTTTAGGACATAGCTTTTTGTTTGAACCATCTTAGGGGGACAAAATGTGCCTACACAGATCCCAGAGCCTGTCCTCCGAGCCCCCTCGCCTGGTAGGAAGAGCCAAGTACCTTCTTGCCACAAGGTTGCATCCCCTCCCCCAGACATTGGGGCTGCTTTCTCTCTGCCTCAGCTGCTTCTGGAAGTTTGGATATTCTCAGAGAAATGTCTTCATCTACTCAACAAATTACGGGGGGGGGGGTGGTAGTACATACCCATGTGTCATTATCATGTAACCTGGCTGTATCCTTTGTGATCCTTGTTACAGTTTGTAAATGTAGATTCCTTGACCAAATCTAAAAGCACCTTGAGCCTGGTGGTCTGAATTTACAGAACCTACTTCACAGGCATTAAGAGGAAAAGCATCTTTGGATGAATCTGAATATTTATCACACTCAACTGTTTACTTACTACCTATGTCACATGATTCAGGCCCCCCAAGATTAGATGCAGTGTCTCTGCAATTCTCCCACCCAGTCAACAGGATACAAGTTAAGCCAATTAAGAGCAATTTCTCAAAACCACAGATGTGTGCCTGGTACCATTGTTTAGGACTCGACTTTCCACATAGCCTAAAGGACTTGACTTAGTAGGACTTTGCTATAGAATTTCATATTGTATAAATTCCATAGTGTTTATTTATGGTTTAACCAAGCCAC